GTTTCTACTTAGCACGGAAGCATACACCGTTGCCAAGTAGGCACGAAATTAACGGGATTAAAAAGCAAACATTAGGCACACGCTCGCTCCTCTGACGTAAGGCGTAAGGGCGTATCTGGATTTTCACGTGAGCCCTGTTCTCTGTGTAGCTCACTGCGTTCCGAAGCTCGTGTGAAAATTGAGATACGTCCTTACATCAGTGGCGTGGCGTGCTTCGATGTATATCGATATTTCCCCATTTGAAGCTATGGTAAAGACTCGATTATTAAGGTGTTCGTCGCTAACACCTTGTTAATCGATCCTTTTCCATATTTTTAAATGGCAAATCAATCGATATATCGCAAATTACGCCACGCCACTGTCTTACATCAGAGGAACGACGAGTTGTGCGGAAGAAGCGCACTTAAACAATCATGTTATTCGAATTTCCGGTTGCACGTGTCTACATCTAGCCCCAAAGCAAATTTCTAGATTCTCCTGCGGCAAGTAACATTGCTTATACGCGAGGTAAAACATCAAATTATCGGTAATTTACCTACCGGGATGGGAAAAAGGTTCAGCGATTTTATTTGCAGGCGAATAGAGTTTTCAGCCGCTGTATAAAAGAGGAAGGTAGTTTAAGTACTTTTTTGTACCTTAATAAATATAATCTTCCAAGAATAACCGCTTGATGTTCCTCGAGAACATATTTCAAGGGAAGAGCTTTTAAAGGAAAATTAGATAGTAGACGAATAATGATGTTATATAATTTCACTAATTATAATTTTCTGTCTTTGTTGCTGTTCTTTTAAGAGAACAATTATCGCATCATGTCGGGTGAAAGATTTCGTGTTTTTTCTCTCGATTTTAGTTTGAAAAGAATAAGAAACTGAAGGGTCGAGTCCATGAACATGTTCGGCGACATTTTTGTGATTCTGATGAAAGACAGGCTTAAAGTTTAAAAATGAAATGAGATTTAATGGTCCGAAAAACGTTAAAACTGTTGGTCGGTGCCTGAAAATGAACTTTGTTACATTCAATTTTTCATGTGCAGTATTTAAAAAGTATTAATATCTCAATTTTCTCCCTTTTCGTTTTTAAATGTTACTTTAACATTTTCATATAAGCCAGAACCTCCAATTAACATCGCCATTAACACTTTCGCTTTAAAGAAGAAAGAGACGACCGTCCGTTTCTAAGGACAAAAGACAGAAAAAGAACTAAGCGCGTGAGGACGAGATCAGGATATGCGACGCTGATAAGGCGCGTGGATACAACTCTTCGTGCTCGATGGACATGCGTGTTGCATATCGAAAAATTGAAGGCGATTCATCTTTCCTCGCGCTCGAAGCGCAGACGCGGCCGCCCGGAAATACCATCAAGATTTTATACCGCCGACATAAAGCAAAGATAGGAAAGAACACATTATAAAACAGCACTTTACTGCCGTGCTAAGGAGAAACGCCGCATGAGCATTCAAGAGTTGCCAAATTTCCTCCAGTACAAAATGTGTATTTTCAAGATGAGTTATGATTATTTCCTCTCGGAATTATCAGATAATTTAGATATAATTGCGATTATAATTCTACGATAAATCGGAGGAGAAATACTCACAGATTTCCCTGGAAATCCGAATTTCAACGGAGGAAATTTGGCAACGTCTGGAGGTTTATACGGCGTTTCTGGCGAGGCAGTTTAGACGACCGCACTCCACGAACCACGAGTACCTTAGAATCGCCGCTCCCGGCTGACCACAACTTTATAGCCACTTCAAAACGGGGGAAGTTTCATAAACCTCGGATGACCCGATATCCTACTCCTTCACTTTTGTTAGCATTTTTGCGCGGCGATGGCTAGCCTGGGTCAGTCGCGAGTCCTCCATCATGCAGTGACGGACGCCTAAAACGGGGTGGAAATAGATTTTTCGAGTCTCGGCGTTGGGAATTGACTGAAAAGCGCCGTGAAAAATGTAGGCTACTGAAAAAGAAACCTGGGGGCGGCGCACACTGGATCGAGTCACTCGGAGAGGTCGAACACGAAATTTTTTACTAAAATTGCAAATTTTATGTTTATTTCGTCACATTTTAAATTTCAACACTGAAAAAAAATTCTCGGCGTTTTTACCACGGTCCGTTGGTACCTATACCATCTCACTTTTTTTTTACCAATTATTGGTAATTTTACAAAGACAGACTGGTTAGCTAACCTAAAAACCGGTATTTTCACTGTTTTTTTCAGGTAAGAATACCACTTTTATTGGTAATCAATTCCCGGTAACTTTGCCATTTTATCTCGGTAATTCTACCACAGTCGATAAAAAATATTGGCGTTTTTACCAAGGTCCAGTAAAATTACCGAGAAAGTTCAATAATATTACCGAGATTTCTTCGTAAAATTACCAATTCCATAAATGGTAATTTTACCAAGAAATAACTAGGATCAAATAGAACCCTGAATTCGTGGTAATTTTACCCTTTTCTTAGTAAATACACCGAGATTTTTTTTTCCAGTGAAGGGGTGCTTCTTGAGGGAAATTTCACGAGAAAACCAGTGGAACCACTTCTAAAACCTCAAAGTTTCGTATAAACGGAGTTATAAGCGTTTAAAGTTTCCAAATCTTGGCCGACCTCTCTTATTGACTCGATTCACTGTGCGGCGGGGCGGGCGGGGTGAAAAGGTGAGAGACAGCGGAGGGATGAATCAAGCCTCCCTTCGCCCCCGTCCGTCCCCTGACAGGACCCCTCACCTTCATTGAATTAAAATCTGTCGAGGCTTCTCCCAGGGAGGGACCTCCGGGCTCTTCATTGTGTTGGCGTAAAATTAACGGTCGCCTTGCTCCTGCACACCGTTCGGGATCCTCCCACGATTTTACCCCGGTCCCGGAAATCTGCGTCCCTGCATCCTGGAATCCCCCTCGCATCCCGTCGGGAAAAATTCAGCTTTCATTATTGCGTTTGAAATATATCTCAGGGAAAAGGGACTCTGCCTCCATGAGTAAACTTTTTCGGGGGAGAGATATTTATCAAATTGGTTGAAAAAAAAATCGGATTTGAGTCTTCAGTGAAATTTGCTTCAGTAGCGCGGCGTGATTTGCGATATATCGATTAATCTACCATTTAAAGCTATGGAAAAGGATCGGTAAACAGGGTGTTTGCGAGGAACACACTCAATAATCGATTCTCTAACACACCTTCAAATGGGGAACTATCGATCAGTAATTGACGCCTCTCCACCGATTTGCTTCCTCGTCCGTCCCTCCAAGAGTGAGTTAAAAGCAGTCAAGCTCATTTCGTTGTTTCTCTCACGGAAAAACGTAACTTTATTTCAATGTTGCCAAATTTTCCCTCACAAATTGCATTTTTATCAGAAGAATCTTGGGCATTTCTGATTTAAAAGTTCACTGATATTTCGTCTGATTTCGTGGAAAAATCAGAAAAATCTTGGACGAAAATTGCACAGGTACATTATTGTAAAAACTTGAACAGTTTGAGTTGATTTTGCAACTTCAGAATGGAGTCACATTCTTCCGTCCAAGAAACGGCGATTTGTCTGCTGAAATGCTGAAATGCGACATTGTTTTCCCTCCATTTGAATGTATGTACGATTCTTGGCGAAGCAGCATGCCTCACCTGAAATCGATATTTTTAATGGATGTAAATGGAGGAAAACAGTGTTGCCAACTTGAAAAATTGCTATTGTTCATCAATGTAATTACCATGTATCCGTGTATAATTACCGTGTATCCAGGTTGAAGGACATTTTGACAACGATTTTTTGTCCGTACACCTGGTTCTTCTAGTAGTTCATGTCCACGCGTTTTTTCGGCAGGGGAGTTCGTGCCGTAGTACCTTGATTTATTTTGCGTGGAAAGCTTCGTACTCTCAAAGGACGCCTATCATTCTTAAAATGTTGGAGCGCCTTCGATTTCGTTTGATACCGTGCAACACCTCTGTTGTGAAATAGTTGCTTGAGGCGCCGTGGCACGCTGCGGCGCGGCGCGGTGCGGCTGGCCAACTCCTAACGCGCATTGACGCCTACAAACCTAAGGGGATACTTCAAGCATTGCGCAATGCGTGAGGTATCCCCTTAGGTTTGCAGGTGTTAGTGCTCGTCTCGCGCCGCGCCGGTAGCACGCCGCGCGCCGCTCCGCTCTGTGTTCGGCTGTAATATTTAAAATCGCGGAGTCGGCGCTTTTCAGCTCATGATGTTGAAATTTTTGCACACTCTGCATGGATTTTCCTCACTCAAATTGATGAAAAGAATGTGTATTAAAGGAAAATATAAACTGTGTTTTGTAAATATTAAGGTGGTTCCGTGTCAAATTTAATGATTCCCAAAGCACTTTAATTATTTCTTTTATCTTTTGGTTTTTTCCCCTTTTATACTCATTTTTGTATGGTTTCTTTCAACACAACTCTTATTTTACGCGTGGACGTAAACTTCTGGATAAAACAGGCACGCGGACAAAAAACCGTTGACGGAATGTCCTGAAACCTGTATGCACACTGAAAAAAAATTCTCGGCGTTTTTACCAAGGTCCGTTGGTACCTTTACCATCTCACTTTTTTTACCAATCATCGGTAATTTTACCAAGACTGGTGAGCTTACCTAAAAACCGGTATATGTACTGTTTTTTTCAGGTAAGAATACCACTTTTATTGGTAATCAATTCCCGGTAACTTTGCCATTTTTTCTCGGTAATTCTACCACAGTCGATAAAAAATATTGGCGCGTTTTTACCGAGGTCTGGTAAAATTACCGAAAAAGTTCAATAATTTTACCGAGATTTCTCGGTAAAATTACCAATTCCATAAATGGTAATTTTACCAAGAAAAAATTGGAATCAAATAGAACCCTGAATTCTTGGTAACTTTACCCTTTTCTTGGTAAATACACCGAGATTTTTTTTTCAGCGAGTGTTGCTAACTTGGAAAATCGCTATTTTTCATCAATGTAATTACCATGTATCCATGTATGTTTACCGTGTATCCACACTAAGAACCTCTTGTCTTTTTCGGCAGATCCGTACGTGCGGGTGCAGATCACGGGAGCGGAGATGAAGGACAAGCGGAAGAAGAAGACGAGCGTGCAGCGGAACACGGTCTGCCCGGTGTTCAACGAGCTGCTCCACTTCTCGATGAACCGGGAGACGCTGAGCAAGTGCAAAGTGGAGTTCACCGTCCATCACGACGGCCTCCTCGGGACCTCGGAGCTCGGGCGCGCCGTCATCGTGCCCGAACACGAGAAGTACATCTTCAACGACATCTCCAGCACCACCGACACCTCCAGGTGGCTCGCCCTCTCCGACTGAAACGAGCGCAACTCCTGGCCCAAAAGCCCCAGGGCCAAGTCACGTCACCGATAATATGAGTTGATAAGCTACGTTGATATCTACTAGAGTACCTGTATAGCGACAGTATATAGACAGATGTGAAACTCCGAAAATCCATCAGGCCTTCACCGATGCCTCCGCGAATAAAGTTAGGGCCCAGAAATGCAGCTAACCTATGAATTTCAATTATCCAGAGCGATTTATTAATACAATGGGCCTGTTGCAAACTTTTGCTAGAGCAAAACTAAGAGTTGTTTCTTATAGATAATGCCTCAAAAATCACGATGAGCGCATCGGCAAACTCTGAAATGCACTAATAACTTCACAATCTGCGAAAGAAATTTGCGGTTTTTTGAGCTTCCCGCTTCAAAAACGATACTACGGCACAGGTGAACATTTTGTTAGAGGAGTCGTTCCATCGTCTGCAATACTCATCATGGCCGACGCCAATCCGCCAAAACACGTGTGATGGTACGAGATAACACCTGAACAGGATTAGACCAAGTAACAATCGGCGTGTTTACCTTCATATTTTTCTCGCCCGCCTTGATTGACCTTGAACTCTCCTCGAATTACGCACAGAACTGCGCAAGCGTCGGCCATGATGAATATTGCCGATGATGGAGCGACTCCTCTAACAAAATGTTCACCTGTGCCGTAGTATCGTTTTTGAAGCGGGAAGCTCAAAAAACCGCAAATTTCTTACGCAGATTGTGAAGTTATAAGTGCATTTCAGACTTTGCCGATGCGCTCATCGTGATTTTTGAGGCATTATCTATAAGAAACAACTCTTAGTTTTGCTCTAGCAAAAGTTTGCAACAGGCCCATTGTTACGAACTATCGTTTATAAAGCACGTATTTGACTTAGTTTTTGCATAAATTTACTCATTTTTGTGGAGGAACGCTCATTTATGTACTTTCTCAGCCATCTTCGTTAGAATTGGAATCTACAGACTGACAGTGAAATTGTGTGCGTTAGAAGTTGGTTAGAAGGGTGGCTGCACTTTTGGGCCCTAAGCCCTCCATGAAGCGATCTGTCCATACTCTCGCTATACAGGTACTCTAATATCTACAAGGGCGTCAGTTTGGGAGAACAAAGAAGCTTCCTCTATGCATTTAAAATTTAATCTTTATGGGGGGTGATTTTGATCTTTCAATACCATTCTTTTAGATTTGTTGAAGTATTAAAATCCTCCAAAAAATTTGGCTGACGGAAAGCCCCTAGCAAAACCAGCGGGTCCAATAGAGAGGTAGCGTTGTGACTACCAATGCTAACCTGAATCGGTCGCATTATTGCATTATTTTGTCGCGATCAACCTTGATGACAGAAATTGTTGGCTGCGTTCCTTATGGTCGTTTTAAGTGTAATCTGTGTTGAGGTTGGCAATATGCGAAAATGAGTGGACTCTCCCAGTGCCGTGGCGTGCTTTGCGATATATCGATTGAACTGCCATTCAAACCTGTGGAAAAAGATCGATACACAGGGTGTTCGCAACGAACACCTTAATAATCGATTCTTTGACATAGCTTCAAATGGGGAAATATCGATAATCGATCATGCACGCCACGCCACGCCACTGGACTCTCCGTGCATGGAGAAAACGCTCCGATCATAACGTTTACTATCGTATAATCTCGTTTGCCATGACGTAAACTCGCAAGCGTAACACATAACGGGTAATGTAGTACTGCTTGTACGTCCAAAAACACGTAACTCAATTGCGAAGTTTCATATTATCTGCTACTTTTCTTTTATTTTCATTTTTTCGAGGAAAATTGAATGAACGATATTGATTAATATTTTTACAGAATCTTCTGTATGAAATGAAAAAATAAAATAAAATAGTAAAAATCCCAGAGGACTATTTCTCGCAGTTTTCTTTTTTTCTGTTAAGAGAAAGCTGCAACGTCGCAAATCGAGATGCTTACGTTTTTTTCGACTTTAATCATTAATATAGGTAGAAAGTAAACGCAAGGATATTGTAATAAATCAAAACATATTGTTCTTATTTTTGGCCTTCATCAGAAATAAATCCAATTTGTGTGTTATGTTGACGTATACACTCAGTGTGCTAGATGAGAAAATTTAAAGACGCGGGAAATGAAAATGAAAATCGGTTGCTCTGAGATTCAATGACGCTATTAATATTAAAATCAATTACATTTTTCTCTCTCTTTTTTGCTAAATGCTTTTCCATCGCTTAATTGTGTAACTGCTTAAATCCTAGAAAATGTGAAAACGCTACAATTGTATTATCAGGTCTAAATTATTGAATAGTCCTTGAGTGATTTTGACTGCTAAAATAGTCACATTACAATATAGAAGCTCGGGAAATACGTTGAGCATCGCGTGGATCGTCATTCTGAAGTCAGAACTGTGAGAAATGTAGGAATAACGCATTAGTGTAAAATATTGATTAGAAAAATGCGTGCCTCCGACTGCAACCTTAAAGTCTCCATTCAAAGCAGCATTTTTTTGAAAATAATTATCCAGGACTTTTCTAACTCATAATTATTAATTCATAGTAACTTTAAAGGATTTGGTTAAAAAAATAAAACATAATTGGAGATTTGGAAACGTTGCAGCGACGGCACGCATTTTTCGGCCACGGTCATCGATATCGACGGGGAAACTGCTAAAACGCGAATCTCGATGGCGGTGTTGCCAAATACCAGCTCTTATTTCACGTTGTAAAAGGAGACAGAACCAACACCATCCCTTGAAATTTTCATAGAGTATTCCCAACACAGAGAACAAATATCACCAAAGTTTGAAAAAACGACGTTCACTAGTTTCCCCTTCAGAAAAAAAGGATTACAAGAGGTCTGCAACGTTGCAAACTGAGGAACGCGTCTTCGCATTTTCACTGTCGATATGCCTTCGGCAGAGCAAATTGGCAACATCGGATTTCCTCCATTTAAACCTATATTGAATAATCGATTCTTGTCAGAGCACCTGGCCTCTCTGAGAATCGATACATTTCCATAGGTTTAAACGGAGGGAAAAACAATGTTGCCAATTTGCTGGATCCGCCAATGGCTTTCGGGCCATCAGTCGTTCGAGAATGAACTTTTAAAGAGGTAAACTGCAAGAGATGGATGCACTTAAAGCACCGCATTATGCAGTAAGGAACCCAAACTCGAAATTAGTTATCAACTTTGACAAGACCCCGAAAATTCCTCGCTCCTCTGACGTAAAGACGTATCTCAATTTCCACGTGAGCCCTATTCTCCATACAACGCTATGCTTTTCGGGGCTTATGTGAAAATAGAGATACGACAGAGGAGCGAGGAACTGTTCATCGGTCGGCTCCAGGCTCACCCTTCTCTTGCACGTGAGTCCATACTCGCACACAGAGGAACATAAACGGGCGATTTTCTGCGAAACGGAACTATGTGCATTACGTCGTGAGCTCTGTTATGTATATATTCTTAAGAGTCTCCAGGGCTCACGTCTTAATGCACATGGTTCCGTTGGGCAGAAATAAGTCGAAAATGGCTCATTTTCCATAACACCAAGAGTTTCGGGGTTAATTAACATCAAGCGACCGGTCGAAGTAATTAAGTTAAGTCAAACGGGTTGGGATTGATGAACCTCGGGCCCTCGGTAATCGAATGAGCGAAAATCCATATTTTCCTGCATGCAACGGCTGTAACAACCTTGATTTGATCGGAAGTAACGAAAAAAGCTCAAGAGCAAGGGACAGGGTGATTGGAAGGGAGAGAGCCAGACGGACTTAATTGCGTTGCGACATTGCGAAGTTTTGTTTGAAAATGTGTTCATTTCCTCGTAAACGGTTGCGAATTTTCTTTATGCAAAATGGGTGTGAATGATGTGCTTTGGTGATGAAAGAGCAACGATGAAGGGCTTTAAAATCACAGAAATCGCTGAATTTGCCGCCGCTACTTGCATAGATTCAACCAAAATTAGTGTTACTATACAGATTGCCCGATTTCCTCCCCCCCCCCTTTTTTTTTTGAAGAGAACTAAAGTAGGTACCTAATGCATTTAAATTTTGCGCGAATTTTTCATGCATTTAAACTTACCGTGAATTTTCCCTCAATCAAAAAGAATAAATGAATTAAATTTTAAGTCAATCCGTGATGCTTAGTTTTCAAAAAATAAAATATGAGTGCAAAATAGGCAATGTCTGGTGTACTTGAGCTGATCCCAGTTGAATCTGTCCAGTTATCCGTGTGTCTGATGATGAAAATTTGCGGAAATATTAATAACGCCTTGATACAACTATTTGCACCTTATGGATGTCCACATTGCATATACAATTAATTGAAGGCGTTTTTGTAATGGCGAATAGACGCGATGTCCTTCGTCTTCTGTAGCCGGTAGCCAAGGAGCTCATTGTTTATCATAACACTCTACGCAACCATTCTCGCTCAATGGATGTTTCCTAGGGGGCACGTCGCCTGGCTGCTACGCGGCCCAGCCCTTAAACAGGTCGCTTTGCGGGCCCTTGTGAGTTAGCTTAAAAGGCTCAATTTTTAGAACGAACCGTGACAAAAACAAAACATTTACATTCTACGATGAAAACATTTGCAACTTTATCACGCCATGTAAAAAAAAAAAAAAAAAAAAAGCTGAAAAAAGCTCACTGGAAAAAAAACGCATTGGATCTAGAGTCCAGACTCTTAAAAACATCGACAAGAAAAAATACTCTTGATTCAATCGGATTTAAGCTTAAATCCAGAACCAAGCCTCTTAATTTGAGCGGATTTCCTTTTGATTTAAGTTTCAATCTGATTGAATCAAGATTATTTTTTCTTGTCAATGTTTTCAAGAGTCTGGACTCTAGATCCAATGTGTTTTTTTTTTCTTTTTCCCCCAATGCGGGCTCATTCGGGGATTATAAAATGCACGAGTAGATAGCCGCAAAAATCAGAGAAATCGGTGCTGTAGAACGGTGATGCGGTGCTTTATTTCTAATAGGAAAAACCTGTAATATACACCTAACTGTTAATGAATGAAAGAAGAAGCTATCGGATAAAATTGTGAAACGTTGCAATGCAATTAAGCCCATCGGCTCTCATTTCTTCATTTGAGTCTCCAACTAATCTTAGGTCCATCAACCCCCGATGGGAAGGGTTAGAGTGCCGCAGGAAGTTGTCCAATAAAAACTTTTCGTTCAAGCGGAAAAACTCAC